CACGACCACCAACAGCGTACAGATTATCGAAGATACATAACGAAGGCGAGCCACTAAGGCTGATAGTCAACAGCAATTATGGAGAAACACACAAATTAGCAACGTTTATATGTTTTAAACTTAAGAGATTAAATGAGAGGCTATCGAACACAGTAAAACATTCATATAAATTTTCTCAAAAACTAAAAAAACATGACACTTGAAGAAACGGACTTATTGGTAAGTTTCGATGTGGAATCCATGTATACAAACATCTCTGGAGAAAATGTGCTAACGGCCCTGCTTGAAAGGCTGGACCGAGAGGAGGCTATACTGGAACCACAACGGATCGGTAGGGAGTCGTTAACAAGACTAATCAACTTGACAATAAAGACAACCTATTTTACATTCAACGGGAGCATCTATGGACAAATATTTGGACTTCCCATGTGATCAACGCTCTCACCACTTATGGCCAACGTATACATGAACAAAATAGAAGAGAGCTTCAAGATGGCACAGCTACAACTGGCAGTGCTCTTGCGGTACCTGGATGATTACTTAGCACTTTGGTCACATGAAAGAGAAAAACTGGAAGAGTTTCTGAAGTTTGTCAACCAAATTGATGTAAAAATTCAATTCACGATGGAATCAGAGAGAGATGAGAGGTTACCGTTCCTGGACGTTGAAGTGATTCGCTCTAATGGGACGCTGAAAAAGAAATTGTTCAGAAAGAAGTCCTATGCTGGGATCATACTCAATTTCCGGTCCCATCACAATTACAGGCTGAAGATTGGAATAATGAGCATGATCATCCGAAGCCTACGCCTAACGGATGCAGAATTCTGGGACGAGGAGCTGGACAAATTGACGAGGATATTTCTCGGCAATGGCTACCAAATCGAAGTGATACAAAGAAACATACGGGCCGTGAAAATCCGATGGAAGAACGGGGACTATGAAAGAACAGTAAGGACGATGAAGGACTCACCAAAGTGGATATGTTTACCTTCCTGCAAACGAACTCAAAAACTAAGGCCAATATTGAGGAAATAGAATATTCGGGTGGCCATGAAAGAAATATCAACACTTTTCACAAGTCTACCGACGCAAATTGAAATATGTGGGCGAAACAGGGAGAAAAATTAGCACACGAATCAAGGAACATCAAAGGCTCTGCACGAAAATGGATACTAAAAGATCAGGATCAGCGGAAAACATAACACAGACTGGACACGAGATCAATTGGAAGGCAACAGAAAGAAGGGCCCCATACGGTGACAACACAATCAAGCGGAAAATTAGGGAGGCCATTGACATGTTTGGGGAGATAAATCTAATGAACAGGAGATTGGAGGAAGGTAGAATTATCGATAACTTTGCCTACAGCCCAAGCAAACTCGGGGAAAACAAGAATAGAGCAAGACTAGCAAAAAGAAGACGCCGATGCGATTACTTTACGAATTCGAAATGGAGGATCATTTCACAATTTATCCTTAACAAATTCTTCGAAACGCAGTTTTTCTTCATATCCTACTCATATCATATTGGGTAATTTCTCTATCACTCCTTTATCATCTTAAGCAGCCCTGGGTGAATACAGTTATTATTATTATTCTGAAGCTATAGATAGCATGTAAAGATATCTGTCTATCTTGTAACTTGCGTGAAGGTGAATAGCATGGGATCCTCTTATCCTCACTTCTTAAAGTGATGTGTTATTTCTCCAAAGTTTACTTTCTCTTGCTAAAAACTTGCTATTTCACACCTAACAAATTATGGAGTCTGAAACTAAATGCTTTGGTGTTGCTATATTGCCTCTCAAATGGAACTCATCTAGCTCACTTCTCTCTGTCTACCTTTTCCTGCGAATGGGCACACCCCAAAGAAACAAAAAAATCTATTTGCTTTTATTTTAACTAGTTTAATTAGTCAGTATAGTCAGTGCTATAGAATTATACTTTCTTGAAGTGGCCCTGAGTGTCACACTAACGCAGTGCTAATATTTCCACAATAAATTGTATTACTAACATAACCTTTAATAAGGTATGCATCAATTTAAGTTATCTTCTGTTAAAAGCTTATATGCAAATAGCTTAGGTCCTGGTAGTAGTATTTCGATGGCTGACTGATAACTGTCTATTTTGAAGATTTTGTTCCATGCCTTTTTGCCAAACATCTCTCCTTGAGCCCTATAGTTGATCAAGGGAATTGGTACTATGTGAAATATAGCTAAAACACAAAAATCTCACTCTTCTCTTCCAAATCCCAATAACGCTCCGAAAACAGTTATACTCTCCGACTGACGGGTGGCATGGAGAAAATTGGACAGCTAGTAGACTCTGCGATCGAAAATCACTGGATAGACTTCCGCACAAGGGCCATATTCGTGGAATTCATTGTCTTCAACCCATCTGTAGGGATTTTCGGGATGGTGGCCACCTTGTTCGAGTGGCCCGGCGTCGGTGGAGCACTGGCAAGCTATCGCATAGAGCCAGCCGATATGAATACCTTCAGCGGCCAGAGTGGAGGCAACCTTGCAAGTCAGGTGAAAATACAGATTTGAATAAAAGTTATTTGCCTTTAGATTGAAAAAAATTGTACTTGTGAGGAAGATACATGCATGCAATATGTCTCTAGATAATAGACAACTTTTAATGTATTATGCTACAATAACGAGGAAAAGTGAAGGTTATCTCGCAAGGTTGAATGAAAATAGTGGTTGCAACCGACAGAGTAGCGAGAGATTCCTAGGATCAAATAACCTGGATTATGTTATATGTTCGTATTAGAGTAGGGTTTCGAGACTACCAGTAAATCAGTGTAATGAGATGTATTCACCCTATTT